GACAAGGGGTTTCTTCTTGCCTCCTCCTCCTCCTTTCTCCTTCCTCCTCCTCCTCCTCCATCTCCTCCTTCTCCTTCTCCTCCTCCTCCTCTTTTGTCGTTGACAAACGGACAGCTGGTGCAGAATACTCGCCGCTGCTCCTCTGTGCTTCTCTTGCTTCTCTCTGTTGCTGTCCTCCTCCTCCCTCCGCATGCATGACTGATCCGCTGACGTGGACTTTGACGTTGGCTGAGTGCCCGCGCTGCGAGCGGGAGAGCTTATGCCACGGAGCTGGAGCGTACCACGGGTGAGAAGAAGATGCGTCAAGCCAGCTCAGGCAAAGCGCGAGCACATTGGGCACGGTCAGCGTAGAAGACGGAACCAGGACCAACGGCTCGAAGCTTACGCTAGCCTTACGGTACTGGTGGGAGTGTGGGAATCCGATCCGAAACAGAGGAATATACTACTTACCAAAGCTTTTATCCGGACTAAGGAGGAACCGAACAAGGGAGACAACGGGATACATTTGCAAAGCGTTGCCCTGCAATTTCGGTCGTCTCGGTTCCTTGTGTACCTAGGCAGGAGAATTGGGTAGCTAGACAGCAAGACTAAAGGTATGGCTGTATGGTGGCCTTTTCATCCTCCAAGCTCCCCCGCCACCGCTGTCAGTGCAGTGAATGAGCAGGCGGCTGAAAGCTCAGGGCGTCGGGGAACCCGTGTTGGCTAACTTGCGATGCTGCTGAACGTGCTATCGGTGCTGCTCGGCAGTCCAAAGTAGGGGGGCTGAGACCCTCCGCCTGCCGAAGGCCAAGATGGTCGCTGCAGGAAATCGTAGCGCTGGCAGGTTGAGTATGAAATAAGTCATGGTGTAAGCTGGGCTGCAACATTCGGCTGTCGCAACTGAGCGTCGGATCATTCCAAACCCTCTCCAATACACCCCACCCTCCATCCACCAGAAGCTCCCCCATCCCCTGGGTCAAGCAAGCTGTCTGGCTGGAGCGGTCGGTAGGCTTAGAATGATGTGGCTATTTTATATCACAGGCTGGTTTAAAGGAAGCCAAGGGCAGTATGGTAGACGCGTTGTGCTGTTGGGCTTGTTGGTTGAAAATCTGGTGGCTGGATTTGAAACTATAGCATAGGGTGGCTCAGACAGTACTGGCGAGCTTGTGTGAAGTTGTATTATCAGACATCCGTACCCCCACCCACCCCATCGCCACCCCGTCCTCGGATCCCCTCCCTGTGGTGAGTGGTTGGCCGAGGCCTAAAGTAGGGCAGGATTGAAAGTGAGGTCGGTAAGCGTGGGCCGGCGCTGTGTAGGTTAGCTTGGAGACTATTTGGCATTGGCGAGCTAGGCATGATAGACCTTTGTAAAGATGACCTCTGTATCCAACATAGAACATCGTAGAGTGGGCTGGGCGTTGACTAACTCATCTTTCTGTAGGCTGGCACTGTGCAGGCTAGCCTGTGATGCTGCTGAACGTGCAACTTATGTCAGTTCGAATCGGTGCTGCTCGGCAGTCCACAATAGGGGTGCTCAGGTTCTCCTCCTCCCAAAAGCTAAACTGGCCATTGCAATACATCGTAGCACTGGCCAGTTATAAAGTATGAGCACACGTTGGTGTAGGCTGTAGCCACCCCGTTTTCTATCCCCCGTCCTCCCCAGCGGCTTAGACGTTGGCGCTGTGAAAATGTAGTAGGCCTTTTCGATAATGTCCCTGAGTCTGTTTGCCAGCTGTAGGCTCGCTTTTCGGTACCTCTGTGGGGGCGCGCCTTCACCGTACCTTGGTCAGGGGAAGTGTGCCGATGAGTAGAGGTAGTTGGAGGTAGTCAGAGAATTCATATGCTCGGCCCCTGGGGGGCAGGACGGGTAGCCTTGAGTAAGGCTAAAGAGAAAGACGCCAGGCACTGTAACATCGGTGCAGGTTGCGGAGTGAGCTGTAAGATTAGCGCATGGAAAGGCTTTCCCTGTATCCATGAACTGAATGTGACATCAAACGTGCTGTGCATATTGGGCTTTAGTGTACGTGGGCAGCAGTGTGGGGTGATTGCAAGATAGCGTGTGGGTCGAAGCAAAGGGGGGAACGTGGGCGAAACATGTAACGGGCGATCTGCCTTGACCTACATGCTGAGTGCAACGGGCGATGCACCCTGTCATGCATTCTGGGGCCGCGCTGAAAGTGCTGGTTTGCTGAGTGCGAACCCCTCCCTCCCGTTGATCCATCCCAGTGGAGGAAAGTAAGCTGGCTGTAGGTAGAGCGCAACGGTTCAAGAAAGCGTAGACACGTATCTGCTGTCTGTGTGTGGCGCGCGACGGTGCAAGGTGAAATTACCGGTGGCATGGTGTCCCCATGGCATGGGGAGAGCTCGTAGACAGATCCGTGCAGTGAAGGTTGCAAGCTGTGATCCTAGCCATCCCGTACCACTCCCCTCCCCCAAAGCTTCCCCACCAGCAACCCCGACTAGGTAAAGAGAGATGCAGGTGGAGGGGAGGGAGGTGACAGCGTGCACAGTAGGTATGCGCCTTCTGGCCGTTGTCGCACTTGTGCCTCTCCCCTGGGTATGCCCCGCAGGGCTCCCATGCAGGGTGTCGGGCTATCAGTGTTAGATGTGGATGAAGTGGTCATGCGCTGTCCGTGCTGCCAGTGCTCCAGGGTAAGGACGGGTAATTAGGCTTGTCGGTTGGTGGTGTTCTGCGCGGTGCACGGAAGCATTCGCCTTCATTGTGCCCCTGTACTTCTACTAAGTAATGCGCGTGCTGCTGCTGGTGTTTTTGTATTCTTTTGAGGTATTCTGTCAACGTTGGCTCGTCGAAGTGGTTGGCGCTGTGTAGTAGGCGGTCGTCTGTAGATATTGGAGTCGATCCCGTTTGGCCGTTTTCCATGGATGGTGGAGCTATTGGTGGAAAGTCTGCCGTCTTGGTTGCTTGCGTCTGTCGCGTGCACTGCGTTGGTGGAACGTCCGCTATCCTCCGCATCTGGCAGTCAAAGTGCCCGGCGGTGGGCAGACGATAGGTATGTTGAGCTTTGACGGTGACAGTGGTTGCTGGGGAGATTAGTTTGCAGGGCGTTCTGGAGTGCTGGACTTCTCTGTGGTTTGCGTTGTGCCGTCTCCTGGTGTGTGGTGGAGGTCTCTTCTTTTGGCGGAGCTGGTTTGTCCGTGTGGTATTGTCCTTGGACAGCTGGCGTCGGTGGGCCCATGGTTGCTGTCAGTTGGGCTTGAGAGGGAGGAGGTGCTCGTGCTGTTTTTTGTGTGCGGTGCTGGTGACGCGTATATGCAGCTGATCTTGTCCAGTGTCGCTGCTGCCCCTGGAAGATTATCTGCCCGCTCGCCTCCCAAGATCGTGTTGCGATACCTTTGTGAGTGCCGTGGTGCTGCTAGCATTGGTGGGGCCGCTGGAGGAAACGCACTCGCGTCCTGGTGTGGTGCAGCCGGTGCAATATTGACCTGCCTAAGCTGTGCAGCTCTCGAGGGGGAGTCTGCGCGCGCTGTCACAAGCGTTACATTGTTCTCGCTGGCCAGGGCCCAGCCCCCAGTCCGAGCACAGTATCTGACTACCACCACCAAGATCGATAATGATATACGATGCGATTTGGTGCAGTTTTGCTCTGGTGAAAAAGCCCGCAGCCCCCCCCGCCGCCAACGGCAACCGGGCTGCCCCCTCCCCCTTAAGGACCGAAACAGAATTCATCAAAGCACGCGCGGTGGTGGTGTATATAATTTCGGTTACCAATGGGAGCGAATTTTATACACCACCACCAAGAAGTGCTGTTTCTGTTTCAGGAACTCCCCATGCCACGGCGCCTGCGAGCTGCGCCGCGCTCCTTTTCGCCGTGGCGTCGCAGCGTCGTCTGGCATGACCCTGCCCCTGACCCTTCTTGCGGAAAATTACTGTTGCGGGCGGCGGTGGTGTATACAAATTTGCCTCGCACCCAGGAAAATCTTGACCCAAGTCGCCCAAAATTATCCTCGAAGGATGGCTTCGACGTTTGCTCGCGCCCTCATGCGATCCGTCCAGAGTCTGACCTGGCCCGTTTGCAGCAGCTAATCCGTCGACCCCCGAGGCGCGTGAAGAAAAAGGCGTGTTGGAGCCGCCTATCCTGAGCTTATCCTGCCCGCGTCCGACTCTGTCCTCGGGTTCCTGCCCGCATCCGACCCTGTCTCAGGGTCGAACCCCCCCAACTCCCACCGCGCCCCGCACCGAGGTCTGGCATCTCCACCTTTTCGACCTCTGTTCTCGAACCCCCACCTGACAACATCTCACCCGGAACCCAACCCGACCCCCGCCGCGCCCGGCACCGCGGCCCGGCCCCACCTTGTGAACCTCTGCCCTCGGGACTCCCCGCCCGACAACTTCCCGCCCGGAACCTGCCCCGACCCCCGCCGCCCCACGCGCCGCGGGCCACCGCTGGCCTCCTGGAGCCTCGGGGCATCGGTTCTGAGGGGCCACGCACGCGGCAGAAATACCGCCACGGGACCCCCCGCCACGTCTGACTCCGCCAGCCCCCGTGGAGCCTCTGGGCATCGGTTTTTAGAGGTCACCCACCCTGCGCGAGACGTCCTGGGACCCCCCCCACCACGTAGGCTGACGCTGCCAACCTCCTGGAGCCTCTGGGCATCTTCAGGGCCACCCACCTTGCAAAAACCTCTTCGGGACCCCCCCACAACGTCTGTCACAGCCAGCCTCCTGGAGTCTCTGGGCATCGGTGCCTCGGGGGGCCACCAACTCTGCAAAAACCGTCTGGGGACCCCCCCGCAACATCTGACACAGCCAGCCTCCTGGAGTTTCTGGGCATCGGTGTTCGGGGCCACCAACCCTGAAAAAACTGTGCCGCGACCCCCCCGCCACGTCTGACACTACTATCGGCCTCCTGGAGTCTCCTGGCATCGGTGCTCAGGGGCCACCCACCCTGCAAAAACCGTTCGGGGACCCTCCCACCGCGTCTGACACCGCCAGCCTCCTGGAGCTTCTGGGCATCGGTTCTTCGGGACCACCCACCCTGCAAAACCCGTCCCAGGACCCG